ACGCTCCTTAAGGCTGAGGGTCCAATGGAGCTGGGCCAGCTTAGCCCGGAGATCGGCGAGCTCCACTGGGTGAACACCGGGCTTGCTCGTCTGGTCCTGAGATGAGGAGGATAGAGCGTCCAGGCGGGATTCCTGGAAGCTGATGAGCTGGCGGAACCGGCCAAGCTCCGCCTGGAGACTGACGAGCTCAGTCAGCTGGGCTGTGGCCAACGCTCCTCCCTCTGCAGATGACGGAGACGCCGATTGGGTCAGAGCCGGAACTGCTGGTCTGGCCGGGGGCTTGTCCAAACTGCTGCGCAGAGCAGGGGCAGCGGCGGGCACACAGCTCCGTCCCGGAACACAGGACTGCGGAGGGGCCCGGCGTCTCTCCCCACGCCGTGGACCAACGCCGGGGGAGCACACAGCCAGACGGGTGCCCACGTAACTGGAGTGATCCGAACGCATCTCTCGATCCGATCTCTCATCAGGCGCTGGGAGGGTGGAGAGGAAGGCCGAGGGTACACGCCGGCACCGTCGTCCGCGGCGAGGCGGAGCTGGAGCTGGAGAAGCCGGGTGGTGGCTTGGAGCGAGCCACTGGAGCAGATACTCCCACGGGAGAATCTCCCCGCTGGATCCTTCAACGGGTTGCTTCATTCTGTCAGGGTGCGCGGGTGAGTGGAGCGGAGGTGAGGATCCAAATGCAGGGGAGAAAGCAGGCAGGCAGACAAACTGGACAACTGAAAGGGTTTTAATGATTCACGCACGCAGGACATGGAAACAATGAAGCAACAAGAGACAAAGGACTGGAGGGGTTTAAATACAGGAGGGCTGGGAGCTTGGGTGATTGGGAAACAAGAGGCAGGTGGGAGCAATCAACAGGGACACAGGCTGAACCAAATCGAGAGACAGGACAGGGTGTGACAATTTTAACATCGCCCTTGTAGTTCTATAAGCTGATAATTAAACTGAAGCAAACATCTTTACTGTGAACTAAATTTACTGTGTATCTTCATTCCTTTTGCCGTCTTTTTTCATTTGATTTTTCCTACTGGGAAGCTAGAATTTCCGAGGAAAACGTGAACGCACCATTAGCTGATAACAGCGGTGGCAACGGAAGCTAACATATCAAGCTAACGTTATTTTTAACAGTTTATTTAACAGCTGGAGCTGATTAGAACGACGATGCCTCACACTTAGATCGTTGCCACTGGTTTCATCTTCACCCAATCACCCGTCGCGTTTAGTAAAGTGAAGCCAAACTTTAGAGCGCTTTCATGTTCTTCTAGTCGGAAATTCGGAGTTCCGACGAGAAAGCGAACGCACCATTAGTGAAACGGAAGCTAACATATCAAGCTAACATTATCTTAAACATTTTATTTTCCTACTGGAGCAGATTAAGATGAGGATGTCTCACTTAGATCGTTGTCGCTGGTTTCATCATCACCCAGTTACCCATCACATTTAGTGAAGTGGACCCAAGCTTTAGCGTGTGTTCTTTCTACCATGCTGCTCTGTTTACAACTGGCTCGCAGTGAGCGACGACATAACGCTCTTGCGCATGCGCAGCTGTCTTGGCAAGTTCTTGTTATGAAGGACGGGTACCGAAACGAGGCACCGTTTGAAATGTCGTGAATCGGTGCTCGGTCGGTACTATGGAATTCGGTCAGTACCTTAAAAAGTACCGAATTCGGTACCCATCCAGCAACGTAACATTTCTATTCAAATAGAATCCATTTTAGTCTTTGGGGGCAATTCAAACCAGCCGCAGCGCAGCAGATTTAGGCATGTCTCAAAAGCAGCACACGGCACCTCACCGCTAAATATCGGGTTCTATTTTTGACGTGGGCTGCTTCTGGGATGCGTCAATTTCCACAGCTAACAAGAAATCACACATGGTTTCAGTGTAAAAACCCAGTGATTTTCTAAATAAAAGACTATTACAGTGATGCAATTTCATATCTAAGTAGATTATGTCAATACGTGGGAACTAACAGTTATTTACTCCCAGCATCATTCCAGAAGTGCAGCGGTGTGTTTTTCATGGCTTTAATTCTGGTCAATGGTTGAGGAACAAAGTCACATATGACATCAAACAGAGATATCAAGCGTGATTCCTTCTTTTTGGTTTAATGGTGAATGGCATAAACAAACTAGGAACTTTGAAGTCTCGAGAAATTTTGTGATCTTGCAATCTGCGGCCAAGACTCTCCCGATGCGTATTAGACCACACTGAAGCTCGCAGGTAAACCGTACAGTGTTGCTGATGCTTCCAGTGTGAAGTAGGGGTTAGGATAACTAGAAAACTTTTTTTGAGGAAACTACATTTTGATAAAAGAAAAAAAAATTAAAGTGCCAACCCCATTCCTTCAGGACTCCCCCAAAAGCTGCAAATCCAGAATACGGGAGAATGCAGAATTCAACGGTTTAAATAGTTGATGCCATCATTCAAATGCTACCCTACCCAAAGGAGTTAGCTTCCTGTTCAGCTGCTCCAAGCTGAGAACACATCATTTGTACCCAAAGAGGGGTACTCGTGAGAAGGGAGGGATGTGAAAGAGGAAATTTGATGGATGGATAAGCATCCAGTCATTTAGAATGGGACTTTCAAAATGATTGGTTCTTCCAGGATTAAAACAATTCTTTTATTTTTGACAACACTTTTAATTTATTTGTTTTTAAATTGATCAATTTCACCTGTGTTAGCAACTTAAGCATTTTGCGTGTTGCCAGCAATAAAATCAAAATAAATCAAGCCAATGTTTAGGAGCAGCTGTGCTGTCTTTATATTATACGTACATTATTTCACTAAATAATGAAATAATGTGATGAGGATCTGATCACAACAACTCTGCTCTATGGGTTACAATATGTGAATCTGAATTTAGCCCAACTATTCAACCAAATGAGTTAAATGGCAGCCATAGTTATACCATACATAAACAAACAAGGTTGCAGTGTGAGGTATTTTCAACAGCTGCAAACTAATTCAACTGGTAAACCGTGTTCAAAGAGAGTATTATGCATAAAATTAACATTTTCTGCCTTTTTTCGGTGACGGGAGGTTAAAACAAGGATTTGCATCACAAAACAGGTAAATATCTACATATAAAAGCTACTTAGGAAAATATGAGAGGAAAGCTAAACAGTGTAACAAGTGGTGAAATTATGTCAGAGGCTCTCAGCTTTCTTCAGATTAACATTTTAAATGAAACGCCGTAATTCGACCTAAAATGATTTGCCCTTTGAACATTTCCAAGCTCTAAAAAGTGCTTTTTTTGTTTTCATGAAACTGTGTACACACACTAGTCATGTGCTTCTTATAGCAGACAATGAATGCAAGACTCTTTCCTCTGAAGTTGCACACAGATAAAATCTAATTTTGTCAACAGGGAGTATAGGATTGAGGGCATGTTGACATTACTGTCGGAGGACAACCATTAATGCCACTTAGCTGCTGCCGACTCAAAATAAAATGTCACTGATAGAAGCAATCAATGAGTGAAACTCTTAGTGAGCATTCTCACTAAATATTACTGGAACCCTCGGCTGATGCAACTTTACACCATCAGCTTCATGTATCATTCTTAAGTGATGCAATCTGTAAGAAACTTTACCACAGACATATTTTTATGTGAATGACACAAACGGTTTTACCAGATAAAGCCCCTGCTTTGACAAACGGTACACAATGTTCATCTGCAGAAAAGCCACTGCACTTAGTTTTACCTGCAAACTTCTTAATGTATACTGTTTGTTGCAAAGCAGAAACTTAAACATGACTGTAGATTAGATCAATTTTAAGGCATTTACAGAAATCTGAATTTACAGGTCCAAAATAAAATGACACGAAGAGAAAAGATCTGTCTTTTTCATCGTTGTGTTGTGAGAATAGAAGCACTTCCAGGCTGATAAAGGTTAAAATGTTTGTTTTGATACAAAAATATCACACACGACTGATTGCACAAGACTAACTCTTTTTCATCCTACAGTGGTGTTAAAGGTCTCAATGCCATCTGGAGCATTGAGAATAAAAAGAAAATCACTTCTGAAGATTCCCATTCTAATTGGTAAATATTTACTCGCAGCAACTCTCGGTGGGCAGGCGCACAGCGTTTAATGAATCACCAAAGCCTCTGGGCTCTTCAAGCTTACTTTTAGCGTGTTTCTAAACAAACGCGGCTTGGGGTTGAACTATTGATGACAGCTTGTAAGGACTGGAACGAGACACTCAAACAGCAAAGTCGTGCAATTACTTTCTCATCGCCACTGCCATCGTGTGCAGGCGTGAACGAGTTTGTGTGTCCTGTTAGTGCAGATTCCTTCTAAGGAAATCTACAAGATGTTTGTCACCCTGTCTTGATTCTGATTCATGAAAATAAACTAAGTCTGACTGTCTAGACACTCTGAATTAGACATGAAGAAAGAAGGATGCTCCAAAAGGAGATGCAGGATAAAAAAGGTCTGGGTTTGTGAATCAGAGGAGCGCTACTGCTGTAAAAGAAACACAGCAAATCAAAGCGTTTTGCTTTCTGTTGGAAATGTTTACTTTAATGTTAGTTTCTGGGGACTTATAGCATGCACATACTTATATCCATGAGGAATATGTGACAAATCTTACAGTTTTCATTCCAACAGATGACCCATATATTGTGTCTTTGTGTGCATGCTCGGTAATTGTACCGCTTCATGCATGCCCATGAGTATGTACGCTACTTTTATACTTCTGATTTTCATTGCTCGTCTTTGAATGCACGTTTTATGTATCCTCACATGTACACCTGCCGGTCTTTGCTGGTGCCAGTTTGTCCAAATGTATCAGAAATCTTTGCTGATGTGGACCCGTGTGCTTGAGCTGCAGCAAGGACTTGTATCCTGATGCTCGCTGGTGTGCATTAATCTCTGCCGCAGCTGCACCACGTCGCCTTGTGTGCTCTGCTCCCTATCCCTGACCCAGTATACTGTGTGATCCTGCCTACAGCCTCATTTGTCTCCATCAGGGGACAAGCGAGGTTACGACTCACCAAGGCGCAGTACGTCTCGGGCGGATCTCCACACGTGATGTTTGGGGGGTCGAGGGCCACTCGTAGGTACTTTGTCATGTCGGTGGCTTCTGGCTGACAGGCCATGTAGTCCCATGCCAGGCCCTCCTCTGTATAGATCTGCGACTTGCACACGTCATAGTGTCCCCAGGCTGCTGGGTAATGTTGCATAGCGTGTGCTACACTGGTGCACACAGCCTGCAGGGTGAATAATATAGGCCAAAACATTGCTGATCTTTTCTTTATGGTTTCTGTACACTTTCTTTTTTGTCTCTAAAGCTGCTGCTTCTTCTCTGGCTGTGTCTAGTATTTTTGCAGGTTTGAGCAGCGCAATCGAGCATTTAGAAACAGCATCTTGCACTTGAGTGTGAGCAGGTTGAAGAAAGGATTAGCCTCCATTCAGTTTTTGTTTTTTCTGCCTTTGATTGCCACCTCGTCTGACTGGCTGATGAGATGTGCCAACACGTGCACTTCCGTGGTGGTAATCGCCAATGAAAAGGTCAACCAGTGGTCAGAAGCGATGCTCAGAGGGGAGTGACACCTCTCAGATGTCAGCAGACATTTGATCTTGATCCTCTGTCAGAAACGCTGTTTGCATCTGGCAGCATCCTGAAGGGAAAGAGGAGAACACCCTCTGGTTAAACACAACAATCACGTAGAGATGTTAAAGATATTTGTGATGCAGTGAAGAAATGTTGACATTTAAAAAAATGCAAAAAATCCCCTATAATGAGAGGAAATGCATCTCGCTGTCCACACACACACACACACACACACACACACACACACACACACACACACACACACACACACACACACACACACACACACACACACACAATCATGGACGTAATTTTCACTTTAGAAGTGTGGGGGGGGGGCATGGGGGGGGGTATCTTTACAGTATGTTCTAACTGTAAGTTAGAACATACTGTACCTACAGTTGTTTTCCGCTTCGTCCTAGAGCTCAACCAGTGTCAATGTAATATAGCGTAATATTGTTTTTGGATGGTAAAAAGTGCAGGGGTCAAAACTTGACTTTGGAAAAAGTGTGTGTGTGTGTGTGTGTGTGTGTGGGGGGGGGGGGGTACATGTCCCCCTTGTCGCCCCCAAAATTACGTCCATGCACACAATGCAAGGTTTGCATGTTTCAACATAACACCAGATAATAACCTTGCCAAAACCACTGTGTGCAAGTCAAATCAAGCTCGCTCTGCAAAGTGCAATCTCCATTTGATTTTCATACAGAAAGGCTTATTTCCATGCATCAGCTCATTGCGTTTAAGTTATTGCTTTTTCAGACTCTTCTGACTCCTTGACGTGGAGTTGCGGTTGTCGAAACACCTACAGAGACGTCGAAGGCGCATTTAAGTAAAATTGGGAGACAGAAGTGGTTTATTTGAGGGATTGTATGTTTCTCAGAGCTTTCACAAGCCATCAGTCAGGTGGGCCATCCTCATCAGGTGTCTTGCATCAAGTCAGTTGAGACCTACATAGTCTTAAAGTAAAAGTGGTGTGCTGGGGAAGTGTGATGAAGTGGTGTGACTTTTAGTCAGATTGAGACAAAAAAAATTGCATTATAATTGGATACATATGCTGACTTTTTTTTTAACCTATTGTAGCGTCCAGCAATGGTCAGTTTAGGTACAGCCTTACCTTTCACCATCAATTCAACATCTGGTCAGAAAGGATACACAACATTGCTTGTGTTCCCTTTAATGAGTAGGCTTCACACCAGCTGGGATTCAGACTCATGCTAGTCTGAAAGATAAACAATAACGTTCTTTCCCCAAGGTCCCATCTCTCTGCCTCCAGAAGAAAGAAGAACTCCAGTTTGAATCAGTTGCTAAATTCAAGATTGACTTGACAAATCAATATGAACTCCTTCTATGACTTATAATCTAGATAATCATTAAATAAACCTTTGTTTATTACTACTTATGATAATTATAGTATAACAAAGTGCTTCATTAGCCTGTGCACACTGAATGGATGTGATATCATGTTTGTCTACTAGAATCTGCGATGTGTTCACCATGTTTTGAAGACAAGGTTCCACACCTGAATCCACACAATAACAAGTACAGGTTAAGTTAAGACTACAACACATAATTAACCTTTTACCCAGATCAGAGCCTCCAGATCAAAGAGGGTTTGTTTCTGAGTTGTCTTGGTAACATCTCTCAAACTTGTCAGCGTCTGATTGGCTGTCCAAATCATAGCAGATAAACCTTAAAACTAGAACATCCTGAGAGATTCAACAGTTCTAGAGAATCGCTCAGACCGGCTATCTGTAGCAAAACCTCTTTAACCATCAAAGATTTTGACACGTCGTCAAAACCTTTTTGCTCCTTCAAAGCTGATGAGCAAACAGTTCCTGCAGAATAAGCTAATATTGTGTAGACTCCTTCAGAGTCCCAGATGCGCAGTTCCATCCATCTGTCGTGACCCGAGACATCTCTGGACTGAAAGGATCGGTACCACAGTATTCTACAGCCCTCCGGTGCCAACGGTCATCCAACCTCTGTGACTTTCAGATCCACCAAGAGGGTCTCTGAATACGGGTAATGTAGACACACCGATAGTGTCTGATGTGGGTTTGTGATAACAATCAACCTCATAGTTTAACACAGACCAAATTCTTTTACATCCAGAACTCAGCTCTCTGAGATACGGAAGTTCTGACCAACATCGCATCCACACATAGGTTCCAGACATCACCTTTAGCTCCATCCACTCACAGTACATAATAGTTAACCACTTTGTCATGTTTTAAATTGTTTGTAAAATAAATTCTTACTTTTATAAACTTGACTCTTTCTTGAAGTAAAACGAAGTGTGGTTGATCACTGAAAAAGCAAAGAACCTAGATCTTCTGAATTAAATCCTAGAATCTTCTGAATAATTACAATAAAGACCTTGCAGGTTAATATTTTATATTCATATAGAATATTACATCTCCGCTACACTATATTCATCATTATACAGACTTATCCGGTTATGGTGAAACACACGTTACTTCCTACTAACGTGTGGAAGGACAAGAATTTAAACCTTCTAATTTATCCTGCATGTAGCAGAATCCATGCCAGTTTTAATGGTTTTGGATGGTATCCCTGGCAATTATAACATCAGCTTGTAAAGCACCTTTTAATTACACTCTAACTCTAACTTATCTGCATTGCCATCCAGACTGAGCAGACCCTTCAGAGTAAATGATGTCACTGATGGCAGCCTTCTTTTGACAGACCTCGAGCAGCAAGAAGAAAGAGACCAGAGCAAATAAAAGCAAGAAGGAAACAAATATCTGCTCATGTCAATCAAGAAGCCTTCCAACAAGAGACCAATTACAAATTTGATAACACAGCTAGAAATCTGAGTGATGAATAAGCAATTTATTTCACTGGGATGTGTATCAAATTATATAAATATAAATGTCAGTCTCTGATCAAAGATGCACCGCGAGATGGACCGCTAATTTCAGATGCTCATGCACGGACACTCTGTCCCATCATACTCCATCATCCTGTTTCACACAACACCAAGGTTGACTTTTGTAATGTCACTAACTGAGTTAGGTATCAGCGTGGGTAGTGGAGGCCACTTATCAACTTCTTTCTTTCATAGGTAACATAAATGAGAGACAACGACCGAATGCACATTTTTATGCTGAAAAAACAACTTCTATAAAACATGCATCAGGTAGGACACAGAAAGGACGTGTTTTCTTTATTTTCTTCTATTTATCTTGGACTCAGTTCACGCTGAAGCAATAAACATCAGTCTTGGCTTTTGTTTTCCGTGTCCTCACGTCTGCCTCACATTCAAGAAACCCAGAATGCCATAATTTCACCAGCGAAAAACATGAGGTCAGATTCTATATTAAAAGTCATGAATTTTTAAGTAGCTCTCTATATGTAAGGAGACGAAGAGCTAAAGGTTATCATCTCACCTCTCGCCCCTCCTCCTCATTGCTTTCCCTTCACTTGTTTTTGAAACACCCCCGTGTGTCCGCTTGCATTCCCATCCCCCGGGCAGCTCAAGCATAGCTGAGTGTTTTAAAAGTCAGCAGGCAGTCGTGCCCCCATGGCTTGTAATGGTTACAAATTCCCAGCTAGACTCTTAAAAATCATGCCAGACATGCTTATTTTACAGTGATCCTGTCTGAGTGAGGCTTTCAGGACCAACCCAAAAAGGGAACTGTCCATAGTGCTGAATTCCTGGAAATGTGTTGATTACAACAATCACAGCAATTGTGCATGTACAAGTCATGTAGGCAACACTAGCCAACGTGTTTCCTGGTATTCATCCCGAAACAATAGCTGTCTTTTGTTTCCACCCTGTGCAGCTGCTCAGGTTTTTTCGATGAGGACACACATAATCACCCCTGTCATTGTGCTTATTGATTTAACTGACTTCCAAGAAACAACTTCTGATACACTGCCAATGTGTGCAGACTGATGCTTTGTTTTCTGGCTGATGGGAGCAACAATAAATGGGTTAAATTCTTCCAACGCTCTGTGAGAACAGACCCCTCAATATGAGTCACAGCGGGATCAACTGGCAGTCAGAAGGAAACATGTTTTTCTCTTCTTTAAGAAGACCTTCGTTTATTTTGTCTTTTAGTCTTCTATTATTAGTCATATATTATTTGTCTCCCACCCCCTGCATTCACTTTGGTTATCTAGAAGCACATAAAGCACTACCGCTCCACCTTTAACTGATTGAACACCCGCCACATTAACTATCTTGTTATTTGCATGCTTTTCTGCAAAGAACAATTTCTGTGAAATGTTGTGAGTGATGTACAGATATCCGTGGTCCCAACAATATCCATCCATCCAGCAGCACAGGGACGCATGACATCTGCAGCCATGCATTATTCAAAGTTCTTCTTCAGGTCATAGCATTTAAAAGCACACGTGTCTGAAACACATTAAAATCCTGGATGTCTATCGGAGACCAAAGCTACAGTTATCTAGCTGATTTGCAGTCAGGTCACCAAAGGCAATTGTTTGGCAAAATTAAGAATGTTTCATCCTCAAAGCTGGCACCTGATCAGGTTACATAGAAGTGAGCTTCATTTTTTTATGCAGCTAGTCTAATTTCGTTGACTGTTTGTGATTTAAACGGTGAAAAAGATTCTTATTTGGATTGAGAAGCTCCTGCTGTAAAACAACGAGCCTTTCTCCCGATCAGGGGAAGTCTGACCATGCTGTAGAGCAGGAGCATTCAGCCTTTCATCCTTTATAAAACGCTCATCCCTGACTGTTTTAACACAAATTTATAATAACAAATCCGTTCACTTCAAATAACTTTTTGCGCGTGCGACAGGCACGAGGTGGTCAAATGGAGTACTTACATTCGAAAGCGCCCCTGGGACGAGCTGCTCGTTCAACAAGTAATTTACAGAATTCGCTGACAGATCTGAACTCGAAGCTGACAGCCTTTTTGTGTCTTGCTCTATTTAGCAAATAAATTGTCAATAAACGTTAAATTCACGCACAACTCGTGCGTTGCGCTTAAGGAAAAACACCGCTTTCTCCTTTTGTTACAACTTTCCTGTAACTTTCAGTCTTTCTAACGAAGCATTTATTCTTCCAAACAGTGATCCTGGAAAAGATCAGCTGATATTGAAAGCTTCTTTTCCACTAGAGACTCCAATAATCCACGGCTGTTCACGAAATAAGCTTGACTTTACGGTGCCTGGCGCAGTGTTCGCCGGAATGGCGCATGGAGAGAGAAAATAAAAAGCTTAAGTAGCAGTTTCACTGTAGTCCAAGATTTATCCAAGTCCATCTACGCGTAAACAAGCGCTTCCCGATGGAGAGCAACTCTTGGATGGTTTAGGCTGGTTTCTCAGCCCAGCTGAGTTGTGAACAGAGGTGGAGAGAGATAAGCAATCTTTCTGAAATGGAGCCACGATGTCCAGTTACATATGAGCGCTCCGCCGGGTCCTAAAGATAAAACTGATTGCTGATCAATCTCAACTTCTATGAAGGCTTGCTGCTACTTTCTGTCTAAAGCATACTTAGGAGGTTTGGGTAATACATAAGGGCAGCGATGGTATTTATAGTAGACACAACAGAGCGCATGGAGGAGTACAGGGGTTTGATAATTGCTATTAATGATGCGTCTCTATCTAGAGAAGCGCGTACCATGACAACTGAGAAAACGGTAACGTTACATATTCTAATGCAATCTGGAAAACGCAAAAGTCAGCGGAGCATTTGCACGTGTTTCCGGTTGTAAATGATGAACGTTTCATCGAGCGCATGAGATCTATGAGTTTGAGTGAACTCACATGGACAAAAAATAGGTTCGGAGCGTAAATCTGGACTAACGCGCACCCCAGCCCAGAAATTACAGCACATTTAGAACGTAACACGCATTCTAAGGATACAATGGAGATTAGAAAGCAGAAAAAAGTGTGAAAAATATTTTGCTTTTTGTTTAAACTGCAAGGATATCCCATGGTCGTGTGCGCTGATGATTACCAAATACCACAACGCATCGATGCTTTCGATAAATACAACATTTAAGAAATTCTTACCTTACGTACGAAAATGTGCAGGCTGCAGGACTCCTTGTTAAAACCACCAAGAGACGTTGGAGGTTTATGGAGAAGTTTTTCATGATATTTTGGACGCAGAGCTGAAGGAACAAGTGCAAATAGGCGCGGGCGCACTGGTGCCGGGCTCCCCTGGAGAGGAGTCAAAGATGTCACCTTCTCCACTACAGGCTGCCACGCAGCGCGGCAAACAACCGCGGTGACAGGTCGCTTTCAGTGCGCGTTTTAATTGTGCTGTAATGCCAACTGCTGGAGATTACACGATAAGAACAACCGCGCCCTTTTGAAAATCATAACGGAGTAACCCGGATCCCAAATCGGTCCTGAGCAGATTTAAAACAGCAGAGTTGCAAAAACTCTGACATTTTCAGGGGAATTAAATAGTTTCTTATTATTATTGGTGTTTGTAAACAATTCCACCAAACGTCAAACAGCTTTGGAGTTTTCTGAACTTCCCCGTTCCGAACTGCTCTGATCAGCACCACGGACAGCTCCACTGAGCTGCTTGGTTTGATTTTCTCCAAACGATTCTTCAGTAAAAACGCAATCGTTTGATAAAACAGGATTTTTATCACCGTTCTAACTAACAGTTATTACATCCATGAAACTATTAAAACACCTCCGCCCATTGAATCAGCCATTCTCTATAGTAACCTGTAGTTCATCACACAAATGATTCCTCATTTAGGACTCTTGCTTTGAGCCAAACGACCACATCGATTTTAATGCACAAAAGATACTTGACCTATATTCTACATTTTGTTTGTTTTTAAATGACAATTCCATCTATCTTTCTCTCTTTGTCCCTCCTTTGTACAAAACAGTGTTAAACACATCCCCAGTTAGCTTTGTAATGAATATGAAATCACAAGGAGACATGATATGGAGATAAAATTGTGTTTGTGTTGGATTAAAGCTGAATTTTTGTCAAACAAATCTGAAAAATGTGCTCCAAATTCTCAAATCACCACAACACATGATAGATAGATAGATAGATAGATAGATAGATAGATAGATAGATAGATAGATAGATAGATAGATAGATAGATAGATAGATAGATAGATAGATAGATAGATAGATAGATAGATAGATAGATAGACGGATAGACAGACAGACAGACAGACAGACAGACAGACAGACAGACAGACAGATAGACAGATAGATAGATAGATAGATAGCTAGATAGATAGATAGATAGATAGATAGATAGATAGATAGATAGATAGATAGATAGATAGATAGATAGATAGATAGATAGATAGATAGATAGATAGATTTCTGGTTTAAATCTAGAGTACATGACAAAGATCCAGAGGTGGAGTGTGCCCTCTCACCCTCTGTATGTCCTTTCCCTCTGTGCCACCGAGAGACTGGGCTGACAGAGATGGAGGGATTGCTGTTTCATTCCACTCCCAGAGGTCTATTGATGGTTTCAAAGTGGAGTCCACCTGCCACAGCTTTAATCATCCGTGACCCCAGCTGCATGTCGGAAGACCACCGAGGGGTGGCGGGGATGGGATCAGTAGTCCCTACTGGGATGTGTGAGCAGTCAAGGAAAAAAAGGAGAGACAAACATAAAGAGATGATGAAGAAACATTGAGACCTGCTGAGGTAAGAATGTATGGACCTAGGTTGTTTCTCTGCACAGAGATTTTGAATGACACTGACTTAGACAGACTTAGGCTGTGGGTTCCTTCTCTTTTGAGAACTTTACTGGCGTAAATGCATTATTAGTGCATTTAATCAGATTTTCTATAAAGGTGGAGCACAGTGAATCAGCATGCAGGCACAACTCATGGCTGCCAAATTAATTCAATTTATTCCAGAGCCTTTCTTGAGGCCAAGGTTGTAATCATGATTCACAATTAGATGGGATATAAATATTATATATCTTCGCTTTGCAAGTCCGAATGAAAGCAAATCTAAAGGAGTTTTTAGATATTGTTGGGTTCCATAAAGTTTTCAACAGCTAGTGGCTATAATTAAAGCAGAACTGACATGCAGCGCTGTGTAAAAGTTTTAAGCTACTGCTCATTTATTTATAGTTTGCTCTCAAGGAGACCTGATTTATTGCAAATTTTCTGCTCCTGTTGGCAGAAAATAGCCTTGGGTGCTAATTCTTCAGGACTTCTGATGGTCTTTGGGTGTTTTTTTTCTTCCTGACACCAGCTGTTCATCTCAAATTTTTATTCCAGTCAGGGAATCTGATGTATCTTTATTCGTTAAGTTAATATAAACACCAGTGTATGAATCATCAATGTGATTTCTATGCCTCATGTATAAACCATTGTTTTCTGCAAATTTTGGGCAATTTTAAAACTTGAAATGCACATCCCTCTTTTTTAAAATTTAGTCCAACCTTCTGCTTTGTCACACACCTGGTCTCAGTAACAGATTACCACACCTGTTGTACACATCTGATTTATTTCCTCAGTGTGGAGAGCTCATGTACTCCTCAGGGTACACTGTTAGTCGCAAGATCTGTGTCACAGTTCACTGTAAACCCAAATAAGTTCCCAGAACTCAAACATTTTGAGGCAATCAATTGCCTCAATTGTTTTGATTTTTGAAACTGAACATTTTAAGTTTTCATAAATTAAATTTCTTAATACATTTTACTCATACATTTGAAGTTAAATTAAATTAAAATTGCTCATCCAATCAACTCAAAATATTTTCTGTTACCACACTGTAAACCAAATAAGTTCCCACAACTCAAAATTTTTGAAGCGAACAATTGCCTTAAAATTTTTGAGTTGCAAAACAAATTTTTCTAAGTCTATAGAAATTAAATTTCTCAATAAATTCTACTCATAAACCTTGAGTTAGATAAATTAAAATTTGTTATCCATTCAACTAAAAATATTTTTGTTACCATGCCATTGCTGATAGTTATTTGTCAACATTGCTTTTGTAGAGGTGCCCACTTCTGCATCACTGGATTTATTTCAACTTAGCTTATTTTTTTTTACAATCTTTATTAGATCTGGCTAAAATAGTACTGACATTATTGTAAGAAATACTTGTGTAGTTTAATAATACATTTAAAACAATTCCTTGCCAGGTTTTGCAACGTTTATTTCCCCTTTGAGTGTTCTTTTATCCTTGAATAGTAACAGATTTGTAGTAATCAAGCATTTTAATCAAGCACCTTTTATTTCCAAAACTTCTTAAAATATCATAAAATATAAAGAGTGTTTTTAGATTCTTGCATGAGCACTGCCCCACTAACAAAATGTACTCATCAATTGTTGAGTAGGGCTTGGAATAATCTACCTTTTCACCTTTTCTGATTGCATCAGCAGACGTCTTTTGATAATTGAGGTGAAACTTCACCTTTGAAGCAATGAGCTGAGGCACCGCCTGTTGGCACATGACTGTGTAGCTTTTCTCCAAGTGAGACGGAGCTGTGCATGTGAGTGGGTTGTTACTAAACAGAAAAAAATCTCTGTGTACGGTGGATATGTGACACTGTTCTTAGACTCTGCTGAAAGTACTGGGGTGCAGCTAAGAATAGGAAGTGATCAGGGCAAGAAAGAAGAAGGTGGTTAGGGTTAGGGTTAGAGTTAAGGATTGTAGGTTATGATTAAATCAGTCAGAAAAGGGTAGAATTCCTTCTGCGGGTCAGGGCTGAGGTCCTGTCTCAAGTGGAGGAGTATCTCGGGGTGTTGTTCACGAGTGAGGAAAAGATGGAGTGTGAGCGGTCTGTTGTGGTAAATGGAGAGCTCAGACAGAAGGCGAAGCTCTCCATTTACCAGTCATCTACGTTCCAACCCCAACCCATGATCACAAGCTTTGGACAGTGACCAAAAGAATGAGATTACGGACACAAGCGGCCCAAATGAGTTTTCTCTGTCTGGGCTCTCCCTTAGAGATAGGGTGAGAAGCTCGGGCATCCGGGAGGGGCTCAGAGTAGATCTGCTGCTCCTCCACATTGAGAGGAGATAATTTAGGTGGCTCGGGCATCCAGTTAGGATGCATCCTGTATGCCTCCCTGGTGAGGTTTTCTGGGCACATCCAACCAAGAGGAGACCTAAAGGAGACCCAGGACACGATGGAGGGACTCTGCCTCTCAGATGGCCAGGGAACACCTTGGGATTTCCCCAGAGGAGCTGGCCCAAGTGGCTGGGGAGAAGAAAGTCTGGGCCTCCCTTCTTGGGCTACTGCCCCTGTGACCCAACCCTAGAGAAGCAAAGGAAAATGGATGGATGGATAAAAATTTAACAATGTTCATTTGACAAAAATCAAGCTTGTAAAAATAAAAAAAATAAACACTCTCTCTTGATGAAATTTACATCTTTGCTTTTTCTTTCTTGAAATTCCTAATTTATCCTGGCCATTAGTAAACCATTGTGTTTGTCCACTAGTGCATTTTTAGATTAAAAAAGGTGCATCAGATGTTTGATGGACAAACTACCAGTTATCATGATAGAAAGCCAATATGCAGTTTCCTGGTCTAAATGGTCTATTTTAAATATGCTGCTAACAAAACATATAAATGATATGGTTGTGCAGTTGGTATGAGCTGATTTCATATAAATGTGCAGAACTCAGTTATTCTGATTCTAAACCTTTTAAAATGAAAAACAAAACAGGTTTTAAGTTAATGGTTTGTCAGATTA